CCTCCACCTGCTGGCCACACTCTTTGCAATGCACCCCAGGACGCCATGTTGGCCAGCAGGGCACACTGCTGCCCCATGGCAACCTGTCACCCCCAGGTCCCTCTCCGCAGAGCTCCCCTCCAGCAGCTCATCCCCCATCCTGTACCGCTGCATGCCATTCTTCCTCCCCAGATGCAAGACTCCACACTTGCTGTTGTTAAACCTCATCTGGTTTCTTCCTGCCCAGCTCTCAGCCTGTCCAGCTCTCGCTGAATGGCAGCACGGCCTTCAGACGTGTCTGCACCACCAGCTGGGAGGATTCTTGTCCACCAGGTTCACACTGCTGGCCACCCCTGGCCTTCTTGCCCACGAGGACCCACTGCTGGCCCACGGTCAACCTGCTGGCCTTCAGACGATGCAGATTTTTTCCCTGAATGAGGTCCCTGTTCTTTCTTTCAGCTTCCATTTCTGCCACGACACACCGTGACACAGCGGTGTCCTACCCGCAAGTGCCAACTCTTTTGGTTTCACACGGAAAATTGGGAGCAGGAGGCACCAGACCTCCGAGACAAGGGAGCAGAAACGGGTTCAGGTGCACACAACCCCACAATGGAGCATTTTGCAGGTAAAGAATTGGAGAATGAAATCAGGACCTGGCATTCTTTGTGAGACAACATCTCTCTGGCCTTGAAAGAACCCCAAGAAAGTCCAAAACGAGCTCCCAAAAGAAGCTCTGAAAAGAGTCCCAAAAGGAGACTGCAAAGTGCTGCAAAGGACCCCCGGAATCCCATCAAAGCTCCAGGAAGGGCCACCATAGGAGACCCCAAAGAGCTGCAATGGAGAACCAAATGAGCACCCAAAAGAACCCCAAAAGGAGAACCAAAGAACCCCAAAAGGAGTTCCAAAAGGAGCCTCAAGATCCCAACGAAGCACCAAAAGCACAAAAACGAGCCCAAAACCCTAAAGAGCACCATAGGAGCCACCAAAAGGAGCTCCAAAAAGAGCCCTAAAAGATCCCCAAAGAACTCTAAGCAGAGCCCAAAGGAACCACAAAGAGCCCCCAAGGAGTTTCAAGATCCCAATAAAGCTCCAAGCAATAAAGCCCCCAAATGCAACCCAAATGGAGATCCCAAAGAACTCCAATGGAGAACCAAAGGAGCCACCAAAAGAGCCCCAAAAGGAGAACTAAAGGAGCCTCAGAGTCCCAAGACCCCAGTTGAGCTCCAAGAAGAGCCCCAGGAGATCCCCAGAAGGTGACCCCGAATCCCAGTGCTCACAACCCCCCCCTCGGAGGCTTGGCAATGGGACTGCCATACACAGAAGGGGCCCTAAGGAGGATCTGGGGAACTACAGGCCTGTCAGCCTGACCTCGGCACCAGGGAAGGTTACAGAGCAAATCATTTTGGGTGAGATCAACCGCACAGCACGAAAGGTTCATGAAAGGCAGGTTGTGCTCGACCGACCTCATCTCCTTCTACGGCTGGATGACCGGACTGGTAGATGAGGGAAAGGCTGTTCACAGAATCACAGAATCACAAGGTTGGAAACGACCTGCAAGATCATCCAGTCCAACCCCTCCCATTGCTATCAGTACCACAAGCACTAACCCACATCTCGTAGCTCCTCATCCAGGCGCCTCTTGAACGCTGCCAGGGACTGCGACTCCACCACCTCCCTGGGCAGCCATTGCAGTGCCTGACCACCCTCTGAGAGAAAAAGTTTCTCCTCATGTCCAACCTAAACCTCCTCTGGTACAACTTCTGGCCGTTTCCTCGGGTCCTACTATTTGTCTGGGAGAAGAGGCCAGACCTTTTTGCACCACAGCCTCCCTTCAGGAAGTTGTAGAGTGCTATGAGGCCTCCCCTGAGCTCCTCTTCTGCAGACTGAACAATCCCAGCTCCCTCAGCCACTCCTCGTAAGACTTGTGCTCCAGATCCCTCACCAGTTTCGTTGCCCTTCTCTGCACACGTTCCAGGGCCTCCATGTCTTTCTTGCAGTGAGGGGCCCAAAACTGAACACAGCACTCGAGGTGTGGCCTCACCAGTGCTGAGTACAGGGGATGCTCACCTCCCTGCTCCTGCTGGCCATTCCTAATGCAGGCCAGGATGCCGCTGGCCCTCTTGGCCACCTGGGCACACTGTGGGCTCATGTTCAGCCGAGCATCGACCAACACCCCCAGGTCCCTTTCCTCTTCACAGTCATCCAACCACTCATCCCCAAGCCTGTAACACTGCATGGGGTTGTTGTGCCCAAATGCAGGACCCGGCACTTGGCCTTGTTGAACCTCATCCCATTCACCTCAGCCCAGCGATCCAGCTTATCTAGATCCCTCTGCAGGGCCTCCCTGCCCTCAGGCAGATCCACACCACCTCCCAACTTGGTGTCATCTGCAAACTTACTCAGGATGCACTCAGTGCCTTCATCTAAGTCGTCAATGAAGATATTGAACAGGATGGGCCCCGCTGATGAGGCTGTTTAGACTTCAGCAAAGCTTTGACACTGTTTCCCACAGCATCCTCCTGGGGAAACTGGCTGCCCGAGGCCCGGACGGGTGCACCCGGCTTTGGGTAAGGAGCTGGCTGAGGGCCGAGCCCGGCAGGTCGTGGTGAATGCAGTGAATCGAGCTGCAGAGCCGTTACAAGCGGTGTCCCCAGGGCTCGGCGCTGGGGCCGACCTTGTTTGATATCTTTGTTGATGACCCAGAGGAGGGACTGCGTGCACCTTCAGTACGTTTGCAGCTGACACCGAGCGGGCAGGTGGCGTGGATCTGCCTGAGGGCAGGGAGGCCCTGCAGAGGGACCTGGATAAGCCGCATCGCTGGGCTGAGGTGAACGGGAAGAGGTTGAAGGAGGCCAAGCGCCGGGTCCTGCGCTTTGGGCACAGCAACCCCAGGCAGCGCTGCAGGCTTGGGGCTGAGCGGCTGCGAAGAAGAAAGGGACCCGGGGTGGTGGTTGATGCCCGGCTGGCCAAGAGGGCCGACGGCACCCTGACCCGCGTCAGCAATAGCGAGGCCGGCAGGAGCCAATCATCCCCCGCGCTCCGCTCTGTGAGGCCGCCCGCCAACCGGACGGTGACGGAACCCCGCGCGTTCGGCCCCAAAACCCCGTTTTCGGGACGTCCCGCCGCCCCCCGGCCCCCCGAGAAGCCCCTGGCCGCCCCCGCCACCATCTCTGCGCCGCGCCCTCACCTGAGTAACTCATAATGGCGGCGCCGCCCGCCGCCCGCCGCCGCCTCTGCGCCCAACGGTACCGGCGGCGCCGCCCCGCCTCCCCGCCGCGTTCATTGGTCGGAAGGTGTTCTCCGCCCGCCTCCCCGCCGCGCTCATTGGTCCGGCCTCCGGGCGGCCGGAGGAGGTCATTGGTCTCGTCTCCACCTCCCGCGGGGCGGTCCCGCCGAGGATTGGAGAATGCGGGTGCCAATCGTCGGCTTTCCCGATGGGCCCTGAGGGAACGTTCGTTGATTGGTCAGCTGGCAGAGAGGCGGTGCCGCCGCCGTTCTCTACTCTGATTGGCCAATCGGGGGTGATGGGAGGGCTGAGCGCTGCCTCCACCAATCGCGTGGCAGAAGAGCACGGAGTCGCCGGCAACGCCCCCACCGCGCAGGTGCGACTCTTGGCCACGCCCCTTCCTTAGCACCGCGCGTCGCCATTGGCTGAGGGCCGCGGGGCTCCGCCCCCGCGGGGGAATGAGCGCGCCGAAACCGCGCCAGTTCTGTGCCGGAACCCCGGGGCGCGGCCGCGTCCGACCCCACGTCCCCACGGCACGGCCTCCCCCCGACCTCCATCTCCCCACGGAAAAGCCTCACCGTGCCCCCAGTGCCGCTGTGTCGTTGCACACGGCCATGTCGTGATGTCCCCATCCCGACATCTCCCACGCCGTGTGACGCTGCCTCCTCTCGACCCGTGTCCCTCCACCACAGAACGCGGCCACCCTGACGTCCCCATCCCGACCCTGGTGTCCCCATGCCCGGGGTCACGGCCACGCTTTGACCTCAATGTCCCCCCCGACACGGCCTCACCCTGACCCCAACATCCCAAGCTCTGGGTCGTGCCCTCACCCTGACCCTGTGTGCCCCCCATCCTGACCCCACACCACGCCATCAGCCGTGGCCCCACGTCCCCTTTATGATGCTCCCAAGCTGTGACTCACAGCCATGTCCTCACCCTGCTGTTCCCAGCCCTGTAGGCTCCCACCACCCCTTTGGCCCCAAAACCAACCTCATTCCCCCCCAAAATCCCCCGTGAGGACCCCCATGCACTCACACAGCCCCCCGGGGGTTGTTTCCAGAAGTTTAATCTAATGTACATATTCCCGGGTACATTAATAACCAGAATATGCCCAATGAAAAAAGTTAAAAGGTAAATTCCCTCCGAGCCGTGCTGGGCTCGGGACTTCGAAATAAAAATGAATGCTCCTTAAATTTTCTACACAAAACTAGAGTTAAAAAAGTCGAAGGTCTATGCAGCTAGACAAGGGGGGGGAAAAAAAACAAAACAACAAAAAAAAACAAACAAAAATATAGCAACAGTGAGGAGGAGCGGGGGGAGGAGGGGGACGTGCGGCTCCGCAGATCCCCCCCCCCCCCCCCCCCCCTAGGACCCCCCAAGCATCACCGCAGCCCACGGTCCCATTGGAAATCGGGGGTCGGGGGGGTGGTGACGGGGAGCCAAGTGTTTTCCTTTGGGAAGGGGGAGCGGGGCAACATGCAACCCCGGAGCAACGGGCTCCGACAGCGCCGGGAACGACGGGTGGCGCTGCCTGCAGGGATCGAATATACAGCAACTCTCGGGCCATAGACAAACGCACGGCGCTCGCTCCCTGCGTCCCTGAACCGGTGGAAGCCAACGCAGCTCCCGCCTCTTTGGGCTGAACCGGACCCGCGGTGTCGGGAGGGGAGGGGGCACACATGGTGCCACCGCTGTCCCCTGCCCCGTCCTCGAGTGCCACCACCCCCACCCCCCCCCCCCCCGGGGGGGGGGGCCGGGGGGGGGGGGGTTTTGATCCTTGTAGTGCTTGCGGCCGGGTGCCCCCCATCCAGCCCGGCGTTGGGGTAGTGGGGGGGGGGGGGTGGGCTGAGGTTGCTCCGTGGGGGAGGCGCAGGCACGGGATGGGGGGCGGAGGGTGCCCCGGTTCAGCTCCGTTGCCCTGGGTTGGGGGGCTCCGTTACTGAGCCTCGGCCACGGCGGGGGGCTCGGGGGCCGGGGCGTCCCCCCGCAGGGGGTCTGCTTTGGAGAAATTCATTTCCAGGATGTGTCGCTGGAGGTGTCGCACCCACTCCTCCTGGATGGAGAGGGGGCCCTGGAACTCCACCTCACAGAACCTGCGGGGACACGGCGGCAGCGGGTCAGTCCAAGGCTCCTTTAGCGGCCCAGAGGCTGTGGGGAGGGGGGAAAGGGGGGGGGGGGAAGCAGGGAGGAAGGGGTCCCACAGCCCCAGGTGCAGCGCTGAAGGGTGGAGTGCCCACGAACAAAGAGCTCAGAGGTTTGGGAGCCGAGGGAAACACAAAGGGAAGCCAAATGGGAGCCCAATGAGGAACCCAACAGGAATCCAAGGGGAAGCCAAAGGAAGCCCAAAAAGACAACCCAAAGGGAACCCAAAGCAGAGCCCACCTGGAAGCGAAAGGGAAAACCCCAAAGGGAACATCAAGAAAAGCCAAAAGAAGCCTCAAAGGAAACCCAACAGGGAACCCAAAGGGAGCCCTCAAAGGAAACCCAACAGGGAACCCAAAGGGAGCCCTCAAAGGAAACCCAGAGAGAGACCAAAGGGGAGCCCAACAGAAACCAAAAGGGAGCCCTGAAGAAAGCCTACAGAAAACCCCAAAAAGAGACCAAAAGGGGAGCCCAAAGGAAGCCCAAAAGAGACCCAGAGGGAGGGCTCCAATGGGAGCCCAAAGGAAACTCAAAGGAAGCCAAAGGGGAGCCTCAAAGAAAGCCAAATAGAGCCCGAAGGAAACGAAAAGGGAAGCCTCAAAAGGGAAGCCCACAAAAGGAAGCTGAAGCAAACCCAGAGGGCACCCAAAGGGGAACCTGAAAGAAAGCCACAAGGATCCCAAAGGGAGCCCAAAAGTTAAGCCTAAGGTGGGCTGGGGCCCACAAGATGGCCTACCTGCACTTGAGGGTGTAGATGTTACCCACAAACTTCACCAGGGAGGTCTGCGGCGGGCGGGGGACCAGCGAGGGCACCGGCCTCATCCTGGGTGGGGGCTGGCGGGTCTCCTCCATCTTCTGCTGGAAGTCGGCCCCCTCCTCCTCCCGGTGCAGGGAGGGGTCCAGGGGCCTTGCCTGCCTCCGCTCAAACTCTAGGGGGGGAATAATGGAAGCGAAACAGGGCATCAGGGGGGAAGGGGGAACCCTGCCGTGGCGCTGAGGGCTGCGAAAGATGGCACAGCCTCTCTGCTTTGGAGCAACAGCGCTCCTGATGACAGGAGGGGCTCCTCCTCCTCGCGGATCCGTGTCCCAACAGCTCCAACCTCCCGAGGGATCCCAGCGGCCCCAACCCCCACGGGAACCACATCCCAACGGCTGCCGCCACCAGGAGATCCGAGGGAACCAGGTCCCAACCAGTCCCCCTCCCGACAGCTGCATCCCCCCCCGTCCCAACTCACTGTGGAAATTCGAGCGCTGATGCTCTTCCATCTTCACCAGCGAGAGCGGCGAGGTGACCACGGGCCGCTCCCCGGTGCCGTCCAGGATCTTGCAGGGCTCTCCGTGCGCCAGCTCCGCCGCCAGCCCTTTGCTCAGCAGCGCCATGCCGCCGTGCTGCAGGCTCAGCGGCACCCTCCGCGCTCCGTCATGATCTCGGGCGTGCGACGAATTCCGGAATTTCTTAGTGAAGGGTCGGCCGCCCTGGATGTAGCTGCGATACGCGCCGGCTTTCTGCGGCCGGTGCCGGATCCATTCGCTGAGCGTCTCAATGGGCGAGCCGTTGACGCACCACTCGGTGACGCCGAACTGCCGCAGGTGCGCCCGCGCGTGGCTGGCCAGAGCCTTGCGGTTCTCGAAGTAGAGGCCGCAGAGCTCGCAGCACGCTTCGGTGGCTGGGGGAGCAGGGGGCAGGCGGTGAGCGAGGGGCTGAGATGTGCCCCGTCCCCCCCCACCGCCACCCCTGGGTGGGAATCCGCCCCCTTCCGGCGTGTGGCGGGTGGCGGTGAGTTCTGAGGTGGTCCCTGGCAGGAGGTCAAGGCTCCAAGATGGGGGATCCATCTCTGAGTGGGATGGGGGGCAGTGGACGGTCCTCAAATCTCTGCTCCTTATCAGAGATATCACAGCAAAAAGCCGGAGCCCGATATCCAAGTGTGGTGCCCCATGGATGGTGGGACTGCGGCCAACGCAACGTCATGGCTGACACGTGGCCATGGCCAACGCAACAACTTGGCAAACATGTGGCCATGGCCAACACTGCACCATGGCTGACACATGGCCATGGCCAACGCAACACCATGGCTGACACGTGGCCATGGCCAACGCAACACCATGGCTGACACGTGGCCATGGCCAACGCAACAACTTGGCCAACACA